TAATTTCTGTGAAGCTCTTACTCACCATGCATTAGTGATCTGAATACTAATTAGTATTTGTAAAGTAGGAGGAGAAATAGGAGTGAAGTGGTTGTTGATTTTCATTACCTGATAGTAACAAACATATCACAATATTATTGTAAAGAATAGCACCCTACTGTCCTTTCATCTTGCCAACTTAAAGAAAATGAGTCTTTACCTCACTCTACATGGAAGGATTTGAAATAGATAAGGATAATTAAAATACAGTCTTCAAAGGGATAAAAATCATAGTGAAACCCATACTTGAACGCCTAATTTTTTTTTCTAGTTGGCAGATTCACAAATACAATGATGTATTCAATAGATTCAGCTCGGTATCCATCACTCAAACTTGTTCAAAATGTCAGTCATCATCTTACCCCCAACCCAAAAGGTACACCATGAATATCTCAATTTTTGCCTCTTAAATCTACTCTTCTGTATTTTCTATCTTCATGTTCAGCACAAACATTTACTCACTTTCCCAATTCAGAAATCTAGGAGTCACTTAGTCTCTTCAAATTTGCCCTATATCCATTAAAAACATCTTCCTGTCCTATTGATTTTACCTCCTAAATTATACTTAAATCCCATATCTTCCTTATCTCCATTGCCACCACTTCAGTTCAGGCCCTTATTACAACTTTCAGATTCCTGTAATAGCCTCTTTAAAAAAATTTTTTTTTATTGACGTATAGTCAGTTTACCATGCTGTGTCAATTTCTGGTGTACAGCATAATGCTTCAGTCATACATATACATACATGTATTTATTTTCATATTCTTTTTCATCATAGGTTACTACAGGATATTGAATATAGTTCCCTGTGCTATACAGAAGAAATTAGTTGTTTATCTATTTTATATATAGTAGTTAGTATCTGCAAATCTCCAATTCCCAATTTATCCCTTCACTTTGCCCCCTACCCCAACCATGTTTGTTTTCTATGTCTGTGAGGGGTCTGTTTCTGTTATGTAAGTAAGTTTGTCTTCTTTTTGTTTAAAGTCCTAGTGGAGGAGGGGACAAGTGCTTGATAGGAATAGGAAGGAGTGTTCTGAAAAGCAGGGAGTTGCTTTGTTTCTCAAGCTGGATGCCAGTCACATGAATGAATCTAGTTGTGAAAATTCATTAGGATTTATACTTATGATATGAAAAACTATTATATGTATATCCGTCTCCAATAAAAAGTTTAAAATAATCTAACAACTCACTTTTAGGGAGGAATTAGACTAAAAGGTAGAGACTGAAGAATACTCCTAATTGTCACCTTATAATAATGTTCCAAAGATGCTTTTTAACTCATCTTATGATCTTAGCCATCAGCCGCCTAGTAAAATACATCTCTTACCACATCTTAGGAAATCACTTCTGTTCTACTGTGGGGGGCTAAGTGGGACAGGTGCGAGAAATCCTTCTTCCCAATCAGAAGAATTATTTCTATAGTCTATATTTTATTCTCAAGTTCAGTTCTCTCTTGCCTATAATTATAAGTGCCTTCTTTTTCCTTTCTGCTTCTAAAAACAAATACAATTTTCACCTAAAATAGTAGAAGAAAATTGCCTATGTATTCTAGGTCCTAGAAAACAGACCCTATTTTGACAGACATCAGTTCCATAATTCATTTCCCACATAATTACATAATTCAAACTTATTATGTAACAATCCCATACTTTAACTGTTATCTTTTTCTGTATATTTTATTCCATAGCAACATGACTTCTAGCTCCCTCAGAACCATTTCACTTACGGGAGAAGTCTCAAAGGTTTCTCTTCACATTATAAACTACTAAGAAAAGAAAGGGCGTTGCAGCTTTGTGAATAATAGGCACTGAGAACCTTATGGCATAGCAATCATTCACTGCACATTCAACAATTAGTTTTTAAGGGTCTTGAGGTTGCCAGGGAATGATCTGGGCACTAGAGGTACAATGGGATAATGGTCAAGCATGCAGGTTCTGAATTCAAGTAGCCTGGGTTCAAATTCCGGCTATATAATTCACTACCTGTGTAAAAATTATCTATTTCTTCTACTTTTTTATGACTCAGTTTACTCATTTATGAAACAGTGATGCTAGTAATTTCTTTCTCCTAGTCTTATTAGGAAGATTTTAAATGGCATATTATATGAAAATCACGTAGAACCATCCCTGGCACATGGTAAACACTCGATACAAGTCAGCTGCTATTACCAGAAGAGATGACATCTAATGATCTTTGCCAGATCGTCTGTTGACAAATGACAAATTTCACCACCACCAAGACTGTCTACCACGTCCTATCCCAAAGCCGCCCTATCCATGCTAGCAAGGAAGTAACAAACACATTAACTGAACTAGCAACTAGGATTATGGCACTGGGAAGTACTTAGTCCATTCCAGCTCCTGCTTTTTACAAATGATGGCACTAAAGCCCAGAGATGTTGCCCAGCTTGAACGGAATCTCACACAGCTAGTCAGGGGGTGAAGATAGTATTAGACCCTTGGGTCTCCACATTCACACTCCAGGTACTGGGCTGGAAAAATCTGTAAACTGGGAAAATTAGTCCATTCCGTCATCCTACTTGTGTGCGACCCCACCAAAAGGAGTAAGTTGCACTCCTGCCAGTGGGGGAGGAGAAACCTTGCTGGAAGTTGTCTATTTTTAGCCTCTGTATATAGCCTGCTCTCTGCAGACTCACTCTGCCTAACACACTGCTGTGGGATTTAAGGCACTTTCCATCCTGTTGCCTAGTGGTTGCCATGCCAACGAAATTTAACAGAAATAGAGTTTTCTAGTAGATTATTATGGTGGAGGCTTTAAAGTCAGATTACCGCTCTGACTCTGAAGCTTAAATGATGCAAGTGATTAGTGCTGGTACATAGCAGGCACACCACAATACTGGCTGAAAAACAGAAAACATGAATGCAATTAGCTGCATCAGGGAGATGAAGATGTAGCAGCAGATGCTACTTAAATCATACCTCACAGTCAGTCTGGAGCAAGTTCACTCATAACCTCCCTGGATTTTCATAATTACCTGACACTCTGTGTGAAATGATTTGTTTAATTCCAGAGGACTGTCTCTGATCTTCAGGCCACTTATGAGCTCTGCAACCCAGGGAACTCCGACTACACACACACACACACACACACACACACACACACACACACACACACACACACACACACACACACACACACACACACACACACACACACACACACACACACACACACACACACACACACACACACACACACACACACACACACACGACTACACTACGTACGTACGTACGTACGTTACGTACGTACTACTACTACTACTACTACACGTACTACGTACGTACTACGTACTTACTACGTTACGTACGTTATAACTACCGTAGTA